AAACAGTATGAGTTGCTGCCACCTAGTGACTGGAGGCTTGTTATCGTTCAATCACTACAGCAGTGGGACACTTACTGTATGACCAGTGTGCCCCCCCCCACCACCCCACTATTTGAGTACTACTGATTCAAGGCAACAGAACGAACCACTTTCCCACCGTGTGACCCATCAATATTTAAGTGGTTGTAAAGCACATACTTATTGTAGGTGAAATGGTAGTAAACGTCCTGAGTTATTCAGCGGCTGTACGTGTCCCTGGGCTGGACCTGGACCCTCCAGTCGGTCGTAACATCTCAGCCACTTAGAGTGGGTCACAAGACTGGATGATGTTGAAGGATTTGTCAAGGGTTCGATGAAAAAAAACCCAAACATTCTGCAGCACTATTATTATGTTCCACTGTGATGATCTTGATGAAAACAAATGTGTAATTCCATGTTATTATTACAACCAGCCGCGGTCGGTTTAATCACTTTTTTCTTTCTTTTTTTTTAATCACGTTGCGTCTTAAACACACAGTTTCAAAAACTGCCCTGGAGGCAGAGTCAACCGTATTTGACTGAGAAGATAAAATACACTGGATGTTCTAGAAAATATTGCCTGAGAGAGAGAGAGACAGAGAGACAGAGAGAGACAGAGAGAGAGAGTATGTGTTCTCTCCCTACACCTTTACCTCTCTCTCATGGACCAATGTCCTTCCTTCATGCAAAAGTAGGTTAGCTGACACAGCAGTTACCATGGCAACTGGCTCCTTGCTTTCCTGGTAAGGAAAGAGTAGATGGTGATGGTGTCACTGTGTGTGTATGTGTGTGTGTGTACTGTACGTGTGTGTGGAGTGATCACATGGGGCAAATGTGATTCAACAGGGTAATAACCAGGTCACAGCCTGTACAGTATTTATAGTCAATATTAAAATAGTGGTTAAAAAAAGACATTAAACTACAAAGATCTGCTTATCCAGGTTAAATAGTTCTGTTAGTAGTTAGGCTTATATATATATATACATATATATATGTATATGTATATATATATATATACATATATATGCGTATGTATATATATATATACATATATATGTATATA